AAAGACATTTCCTACAACTCATCTTCATACTTCAAGTCCAAGAAATGCTCTCACAAAAAGTTATCAATTTCAACATTATAGGTCATTTTCAAAAGTCAACAAAAAGGGACTTTAAGTCAAAGACCATAACTTGAGATTGGTAAATCAAAATTACATGGGACCAAAGGCATTGGTTAAAGGACTCAAAGAACTTTCCAAAATGTCCAAGAACATGAGAAAAGCTTAAAAATTGAGCAAGTTATGCCTTGTAGAAGTTGGGAAATTTTTGTGAAATGGCAAAAGTCAACTATCCTTGAAACTTCAATTTTTGACAAAAGGGCCCACTTTCTTCCACTTGATTCAGCCTTGTCATGCCACACACGTGCCCCATGATTAATTTCAAGACCAAATATTGATTTTTCTATTTTATTTAATTTTTGATAATTTAATTCATTTTAAATCTTTAAAAATTCAAATAAAATTCAAAAGTCAATGAAATAGTGTCATTTGAATTGGGATAGCTTCCATATATCATGTTCCAGCTCACAAACTCATGCTAGGGTTAGATTATACACCAAGTCTTGGTTTTGCCTAAAAAAAAGGGAAAGTTTGTTAAGGGTGAAAAAACCTAAACCTAATTCTCTTATTTCATGGATCTTTGACCTAGTTTAGGGTTATGTTGTACACCAAGTCTTGGTTTTTCTTAAAAAAAGGGAAAGTTTGTTAAAGGTGGAAAACCTAAACCTAATTCTCTTATTTCATGGATCTTTGACCTAGTTTAGGGTTATGTTGTACACCAAGTCTTGGTTTGCTTAAAAAAAGGGAAAGTTTGTTAAAGGTGGAAAACCTAAACCTAATTCTCTTATTTCATGGATCTTTGACCTAGTTTGTACCATAATTCCCTTCCAACATAAATATTGAAGCAAACCCTAAAGCCAAGAGGGCACAAGCTGCTACAGAACACCATAAGCAAATTCCAAAATTCAAGGAAAATTTGAAAACCGAATTCCACATTCAAGCACAATTCAAAGCCTTAGAGTGATTCCAACACACTGCTGATATTCCCAGGAACGGATTGGAATAAAAAAAAACAAGCCATAAAGCTCCAAGAACACGCAAGAACAAGTCACACGGTTTGAATTTTTTCCATAAACGCATACTTCGATTCATGCATCATTAACGTATTTTGTGGATTGTTTTGTGCTCACAGGGACTGTACGAAGCTTTTGGTACAATTTAATTTGATTATAATGCCCTGAAACAAAAACCTCCACTTTAGGGCCTGAAACCCCTGGTTTGCTTTCTCTATATTTTTCTTGTTTTATTTTTAATTCTTATTTTATTTTCTTTATTTGTTTAAACTAATTACTATTTCTTTACAAATTATAAAATACACAAAAATCAGAAAAAAGAGAACAATATAATATTTATTTTATTTTAGTTATTTTCATAAATAAATTGTATGTAAATTAACTTAGTATTAATTTAGGTTGCAACTTTAATTCTTTCTTCCATAAAAAAATCCAAAAATATAGCATTAGGTTAATGACTTTTTATTCCTTTTAATTTTCCTTTTTTTTTTGCCATAATATTAGTGATTTATTTATTTTCATAATTAAACTTGTAAACTAATTAGGGTTGCATTTAGGTTAAATTTTAATACTTTCATAATAAACTTAAAAATAATTAGAACTAGGTTTAACATTTCATTTTGGTTTTTAATTAATTCTTTTTTTTAAATCTCAAAAAACACAAAAATACTAAAAAACATTTTCTTTTAATTCTTAATTTTAATTCCTTATTAATAATATTTCGCAAAAGGGTCCAACGCCCATATTCGTAATTTATTTTTGCGCATTTATTTTATGTCGTTTATTATAATTATGTAATTCTCCCAAAGCGTTGTAACCATTATACTTTTCGCACTTTTATTTAATTTCTTTATTTTCTTGTCAAATCGGGTCCGGTTTAATTTTGGCGATGTGGACCCGCGCCATTTGTAATAGTCTTAGATTTACTTTTCCCGCAACTTTTAACTGTTAACAAAAGCATGAAAGAATGTATGGACTTAAAATAAAATCAAGCGTAGAACACCAATAAACATGACAAGACAAACATCAATGAAAACGACACACAATTCGCACACACCACCCCTAGGGTACGCCTCACTGTTGCCTTGCCTTTCGAAAGGTGATCGTCGAGTAGAGGATGTCTTAGTAAGTCCTCATGATCCGGGAACCTGGCATGAGGGTAGCTTCTAAGGTGTCTTCCCATTGCTCTGGTGATCACCATGTCCCTAAACTCGAATTGACCCGAACACCTCCAACAGTGGTGCTACCTACCTCTCAATGGTGGGATGGCACTACTTTAAAGGACATTTACACAGACGAATTCCTTAGGGTAGGTAGGTTCTCAAGGATACTTGCTCTAATCTCAAAACAAACTCAAAAAGACTTTTCACACCAACACATTTTCAAAAGCTTTCAAAGCAAATTTTTCAAACACTCTGACGTACGAGTCGAACTGAAATTTTTCAAAGAAACTTTTTAAACCCACATTGAAAAGCAAGCAAACATTTTTGAAAACACATTGAGCAAGTATCTAAGAGCCCATGGATAACCATGGATAGAAAGGGTGCTAACACCTTCCCTTTCTATAACCTACCTCCCGAACCGAGAGCAATCTCTATAAGGAATTTTTCTGTGCTTTTGTCCTTTCCATTTGGAGAAAATAAAAGACGGTGGCGACTCTTGCTTCCGCGACATTTCGCGAACCAGCGTTAAACAGTCAGTTCCAGATCCACCGATCACAGCCACCTTCATTAACAAAGACGAAAATATTGTCCAACGTATCTTGATATACCTACATAACAGAGTTATCTCCTGTCGTTTTTCAAATTCAAAGTTGAAATATTGTCCATGTGAAAAAAGGATGTCGACGCAAAAAAGAAGCGATTATAAAAAAACAACAAGGTTAACACAGAGACAAGTTACACGTCCCACCAAAAGTCGTCTATAATAAATAATTCACTGAAGCATGAAGTAGATAAAACTAAATCACATAACTCTCCTCTACATAAACCATAATAAAGTAAGCAAGAGTAGAAAGAAAAAAAGTTCAAACTCAGACATTACCTTAAAAAGAAGAATTCAATGATCCAAACATTATATGATTTATCATAAAAGGTGGAACAAGCATAAATTAGTGAATAATGAGAGGAGATAGAGAAAGATTGAAAATGTGAGAAAAAAACTTTCAAAGAGTCGCAAATGGCGAAAAAAGAGCATGGTAACCTTATAACTCCTTTATCCCACAAGGAAGATGAACTGTTCGATTCTCCGCATTGAGAAATGTGAATTGTATCACGAGTGGTCAATATTTTTCCGCACACTGTTTAAGAACATTAAAAAGCCATAATACTAGAAAAAAATCATTATCGTCAGACATAAGAACGTGTGTTATACGCGAAACATTACTAATCACGAGGAAGAGATTTAATGTGCCTTTTCCTTATAGTGTTATATTTGTAAAGCACATGGCTAAAGCGATGATAATATACCGCCCTATAAAAAAGATGATCATATGTTGCTCTTAAGGAGGTACCGCCTTGCCCCAAGGCTTCCATATCACCCAGTGATGTGAAACATGAGATAAAACATTCCTTGGGTAAAGAGAAGCCAAGGTCAATAACTGACCCGTATGCCTTTGTAAATAAAGATTCAACGGTCAACCATTAATTAGGTGGGCGATAACCTTTCCCAAAAAAACCTAGACCTAAAAAGCCTATATGAGTACTCTCCCCTCAACAGGAGAAACACAATTCTTAACAAATACAAATCATACCATACACATTGTTACCTTAAAAAATCATTGCGCTACATACAAAGCCTCTCACCTCACATGAGCAGGTCCTTTAAACCACCTCAAAACGCCACTATACAGGGCTTCTCGCCGCTGCAGGAAAGTCCTAATCACCATACTGCGTAATATACCTACTAAAACTTCTGAGTGCTCTTGATGCACACTTGTACCTTTTAACTAATATAAGACTCTTCTGTTCCACCAGCAGAGCATGAACTAAAGACGAACCTATGAAAGCCCCTGCTCTACGTTGTTGGAATAATGGCATGGGAGACAAATGTTCGGAGTCACTTAAAGGTCCACGAAGAAGGTCCACTAACAAGCGTTAAAAGGAAAGGCACACCTATTAAGTGTACCCTTATCTCTGCCAATACACTTGATCACGCCTCCGTCATATCTCTCACCATTGATATAATCGAACGACCATCCACATAAGACACCGAATCACCTTGAGCGATTTTTTTTTGTTGAAAAGAAGGGCCTAAGCCCAAACAAGAAAAACTACAAACAAATGCTCCTACGAAGATCAAATCGCATTATTTAAAGTATTTAATTCATTCACACTCTCACACCACTTCCCATTTAATAACAAACTTAAGCACTAAAGTGTCAACCTTGTAGATCCACCTCTTCTTTACCATATTAGAAGCTTGCTATAGTGTACTAATACTTCATTTCATAACTTCACACATTATGATTATTAAGGGAACCATTTTCATTCACATCAATATTTAATAAAAATAATTAATTTTTTTTAAATTAACCTCACAACATGTTTAACTTTAATTTAATCAACACAATTTTTTATTTGTTTATGTATTTCTTTAATTTTAGTAGTTTTAGAGAAAAGATATCAAATAAAATGATAATATGCTAAAACAAGACTAACAATAATAATAAAAAAAAAAAAGAGTATGCACATCTCAACAAATATAAATAAATCTGAGTTTAGAGATTAGGTTCAGTCTCTTGTGTTCCCCTACTACTGCGGCTAGGGTTTTTCATTCTCTTCACCGTTTTCTCCAAACCTCCCTCTATTCCTTTCCCAACCTCTCGATCTGTATTCCATATTATGGATTTTTACTGTTAGTGTTTATTATCAACACAAAAATCATAAACAAACTGAATAACGAGGGTTTCTTGTTGTGAATTTCTTCTAAATGGCGACAATTAACCCTTTTGATTTGTTGGGTGACGATGCTGAAGATCCTTCACAGTTGATTGCCGCCGAACAACTCAAAGCCGCCGCTGCGGCCGCCGCCGCTCCCAAAAAGGGTTCCGAACAAGCCAAACAACTTGCTCCCAAAAAGGCTGCTCTGTTGCCTTCCAAACCACTTCCTCCTTCTCAGGCTGGTTAGTTTTCCAATTCATTGACCTAAAGTTTTTCATCTTTTTTCTTTTGTTTTCGTTCGTTCATCCAATTCATGATTTTCTTATGTTGTTTTAATCGATTTGATTTGATTTATCTGAGTTTTGATTTTATAATTATTTATGTTTTTTAGGTTGATTTTTTTGTTTTATAATTGTATTTTTGACCAACTTATGATTTTAGGGTTTTATGTATGTATTTATTGGTTCATCTGATTCAATGATTGCTATATGTATTGTTTGATTGAGATGATAGTTGAATTGAATTTGATGATATAACAAGATGATTGTTCAACATACTTTTTATTATATGATGTGTGGTTGAGATAACAAGATATTGGTATTTTACTACTTTAGTCCATGTTTGTGTTACTAGTCAGGTTTCATTGTTTGAAAGGACTATGAATGCCAAAAATTGTTTATTACTTTGATTGTACTACAATATTTTATGTTTGAATTTTTATGGAGTTTTGTCTGATGTAACATCCATTTTGTACATGATATTGTGTTTCTTTCCTTGAATGTTGATAGTCATATGGTGATGTTGTTTATTGTGTTTTGTTTCCTGATTGTTTATACTCATCTTTTCTGTTTATTGTGTTTCTTAAATTTTGATATTGATCTTTTTCTGTGTTGATAGTGAGAGAGGCAAGAAACGAACCTTCTCGTGGAGGCCGTGGAGGCGGACGAGGATTTGGACGTGGTCGTGGTGGAGGCGGCGGCTTTGGACGTGACTTTACCAATGACGATAACTCCTCTTCACTGCCTGCTCCTCCGGCTAATCAAGGTTCTTTTGAAGGAGATTCTGGGAATCCATCTGAAAGGCGTGGTTATGGTGCACCTCGTGCTCCTTACCGCGTTGGCGGAGGTGGTGGACGCCGTGGAGGATTTAGCAACGGTGAAGCTGCTGAAGAAGGACGTCCAAGAAGGACATTTGATCGCCACAGTGGGACTGGACGAGGGTAACATCACTATTTGTTACTCATTAGTGGTTTTTAAAAACTTACTTTTCAATCTTTGTTGATTTTACTTTTTCTATTTGCAGAGGTGGATTCAAACGTGAAGGTGCTGGACGTGGAAATTGGGGAACTCAGTCTGATGAAATTGCCCAGTAAGCGCAATGATTTATTTGCATTTAACATCATTTTGATGATAATTAAGTTATGTGCATAATTCTTTTGTAGATTGTTTTTGCTTTTCATTTGTGTTTTTTTGTTTATATCTTTTCATTTTTAATTTTTCCTAGGGTGACTGACGAAGTTGCTAATGAAACTGAAAAGAATGTGGCTGAGGAGAAGCCTGCTGGCGAAGAAGATGCAGTCACCGAAGGAAACAAAGAAACACCTGCTAATGAAGCAGAAGAAAAGGAGCCTGAGGACAAGGTGAATAAGTGGTTGAAATCGATTCTTTTTCCAATTACAAATTGACGGCAGTTTACATTTTATACAATGTCTAAAAGTTTGAGACTTGGCTTTTATATTTGAGACTTAAACTGTATATAAGATTGTTTGTTCTTTGCTTAATGAAAACTTATATGGTGTGTTTAGGAGATGACACTAGAAGAATATGAGAAAGTGTTGGAAGAGAAAAGGAAAGCCCTGCAGGCACTTAAGGTTGAAAGCCGAAAGGTGGACACTAAAGAGTTTGAATCCATGAAGCCACTTTCATGCAAGAAAGAAAATGATGAGATCTTTGCTAAACTGGTTTGCTTCTTTTGCTCAGCATTTAATCCTAATTTGCGGCTTGTATTAAGTGATATGTTCTTACATTTTCCATTTTTTCTTTGCAGGGATCTGACAAGGACAAACGCAAAGACGCCTTTGAGAAGGAGAAGGCAAAGAAAGTGAGTTACTATAATATTTTTCTATTATCTAATTTTCTGCTTTGTATGTTTATATTTTGAAAGGGTATAACCTGTTTTCATTTGTGATTTTAAGCATTTGAAATATTTTTATACTCATAATAGTGGACATATGAGATGATAAAATGCGAGGAAAAACATTAATCTGATAATTTAAACATTAAATTCAGTGTTATCCTAATTGCTTTGCTATTGATGTGGTTGTGGCTGATGTGGTTTCCATCTTTCAATTTATTTTTGTTTCTAGTTATAATGGTTACAATGACATTACTGCGCCATATTTCGAAAAATGACTGATGCTGTCTTTTTGCTTTTATTGTGAACTATGTCATGACTATCTTAATTTTGTGACTACATATTTATCTGAACTTACTGCTTTTCATTTGATTGGACTTGTTATTGTCAGGCTCTGAGCATCAATGAGTTTCTGAAACCTGCTGAAGGAGAGAAGTATTACAACCCAGGTGGGCGTGGTGGTCGCGGACGTGGTGGACGTGGTGGTTCAAGGGGAGGAGGAGGTTATGGTGGAAATGCATACGGCAATGTGCCAGCCCCATCTATTGAGGATCCTGGTCAATTCCCAACTTTAGGTGGTGGCAAGTGATATAATATTTCAGAACCATTTCCCCTATCTCTTTATTTACCTTCAATTTTGGGTTCTCTTATTTGAACTTGTTTAAGACACAGACATGTTTTGGTAATTGAATTTTAATATTATGAGTTAGAAGAATCTTTATTTATCTTTTTTTGATGTATATTTAGGTTGTTCTTCATTAGGAAGTCCCTGTTACCTTTGTAACATTTACTCTTATGTTTTGCCGTGTTTTGAAATTCTAGGGGTTATATTGATGACTTAAATGTTTTCAGTTTTGTTTCAAAATTGTTTTTTTCAACTATTTTGTGGTTGTCTTCGGATAAGGTACACTGTCAAACATCATCTGAGAATCACATGTATTTGTTACATTAAAGACAATCATCCTAGATGGTCTTTTGCGGAATGCCTTGGTTGTTATTTCCTCTTCTGTTCCTGTCTGGTTTCTTTATGGTAAAACCAAGGCAACAATCTAGCTTCACATCATACCTCATGGTCCTGTTTGGGAGTTGGAGAGGAGAGGAGAGGACGACTTCGGAGATAGTAGAGGAAACGATATATATTTTTTAAATATTTATATTTTTTATAACAATAAAAACTTGATATAGAGAAACTCATTTTAATACAATTTGAGTTTTTTTAAGTTGGAAAGATTTTGTATTATGAAGACAAACTCATTCAAATCCCCCTTCAAAACCATTCAAATATTCTATGGGAGACTGCTTCATCATGGGTGAATTAGAGATACAACAATCAAATTTTAAACCTTGAGAATAGATTTTTTTACCTAATACCTATGTATGCTTGTTGATAGAAACCTTGTTTGAGTCACGCCCTCATTGGTTAAGCCACATCCATAGCAAATGTTCCTTCCAACATTTCAAATCCATTTACACGTTTCCGTAGCATTCGCCAAACAATCTTTCTTTAATAATCTTTTTAACTCCCTCTTTTTATCTTTTCTTATGGTGTGGATTTTTCATTTTGAAAATGAGTACAACATGAAGGGAGGGAGATTTTATCCTGGCACCTCCATATATTTCTATAATACCCGTCTTGTTTATGTGTAGATTTTAAAAAAAAATTGGGACCAAATATTCGCTAGACAAAATTGAAAAAACCGGTAGTTTGTTTAGTACTAGAATTTTAAAAAACATCTGTCCAAGTTATCGGATTTTTTTGTCTCTGAAAAATTCTAATCTTAAAAGTGAAAATTGTAAGGTTGAGATTTTGCTGTAAGTTTTGTATTATTGCGATTGCATCGATCATTTTGTATAGTTCATAATGAGTTTAAAATTAAATAAAAATATCTTTTTGTTTTTGTTTAAGGCGGATTTGCATTTCAAAGGATTGAAATTTCCTGCATATGCGGAATAGGTGTCTCAACGTCTTCAGAATAACCTCTACAATAATCGTAGCCTCTGCTTCAGAAAGGATGGAATACCTTTGTCTTTGTCATCATCTGCACATCGTCGTTAATCACCATCAGAACATCAACTGACTGATCTTCATCACCGTTCGTCTATCTAGAAGTAGATCTAATTCTTCTACGTCGAGTAATGCGGAATGTTCGAAACTGAAACTGTCCATCATGCAGTATAAACTTATACTTAGTGGTTATAAATTGTAAATGTCCGTCCAATAGTAAGTATGAAAAATTCAAAAATCGCTAGAGAATTTGAAAAAAAATTCCAAATTGAATAATGTTTTTGTGAAACGTCTTTTAAATTTTTTACAAAATTACAATGGTAATTGCATAGGTGGTTAGGGGGTGCCATGTCAAGCTGAGGTGTGAGGATAAAATCTCAAAGTGAGGGGATTCATGTGTTTTTTGTGTTAAAACTAGAGTTTTTCTACTTTTTATTTACATCTTTGTTAATGTCCAACTAGTAAGATACTAATGTTTCTATACGAGTAAATTTATTTTGATATTGTATAAAATATATTTAAGAATATGTAAATTTGAAATAAGTAATTTAATTATAATTGATGACTAGTCATATAAACATTATATAAGAAAAGGATTTGTGAGATGGAGAAAAAAAATGAAATTTAACATTTGAAGATAAAAACTGTCTCTCAAATATAGATAATTATTGATTAAAATAAAATAAAAGTTGTGTTAGTAATAATCTGTGAGATAAAAAATTATTTGATGCGATATAAATATAAATATAATGTACTATTTGAAATGATTTGTTTAATTGTAGAATGAATAACAATCATATAAATTTAATTATCTTAAATAATCTTACAAAAAAACAACTGTTAGATGAAGAAATACAAAAAAATATTTAAAAATAAGAATTTTGTTTTTCAAATTAAGACAATAATTGATTAAAATAAAATAGAGATTGTGTTAATATGATTTTCTATCAATCAAGAATCTTGGAACATTACCATGGTTAAAGCTAACAATTTGAAGTTTCGACGCAGTCTAATATTCTTTCTGTAACACCCCGATTTTTATTGGATTAATATTTATAAATTAATTATGTAATGTTGTGCATTTACATGCGTTGATGAGTTTTTTTTATGTGTTGTGATGTCTTGTTGATGAGTAGTTATTTTAGAAAATATAGAAAATAAGGTATTGGGGGTCTATGACAAAAAATGTAGAGGCATAAGGGTAAGGGGAAAGAGTTATTGAAATATTATTATTATTATTATTATTATTATTATTATTATTATTATTATTTTAGAATAATAATTATATTAGTAACAATTAAATAATTTTCTTTAATCATTATAATAAGGAAGGGCATAGTGAAATAAGATAATAGGGGTCTAGGGGTTAAATTAGTAAAAATTATGAAGGAAAGAATCACTTTAGGTTTGAGTGGTCGTAGAAAACTGAGAAGAAAAACAGAAAGATCGTGTTTTGGGAGAAGAGGAAGCACGAAAGAGAAAAAAAGTTAGGGCTAAGAGAACCTCCATTAGAGTACCTTCGAAGAACGTCGATTAATGCAAGGGTAATGTTTTCTATTGCTTAGGGATTGCATGCTATATATGGATGAGTAGTTGTTAATTTCTATAATGATAATCTTTGTTTGGTGTTTAGTATGATTGGCGTGTCAGTGTCGAAGTTTATGTTAATGCTTGAAATTGCATGATTCAATCATGTGAAATGTATGTGTAATCGTGTTTTTGAGTAAGATAGATTATCGTTAATGATGTATGTGAATATATGTTGGAAGTAGAAATCAAAGTTAGGTATTGTGTGATGTTTAGGACTATTTGTGTGTGTGTGTGAAAAATGATTTTCGTAGCAGAAAATAACAGAAAAGTGATTATGCACTGGGCGCAATCAGTTACCAGTCTGAGAGTAATCGATTATCACATATGAAAATGAGGCGTGGAAGCTGGTTACACGGGGTGTAACCGGTTACCACTTTTTGGGTAACTAGTTACCAGATCAAGACAGTGGCGTTGCAATTCTGGTTACATGGGGTATAACCGGTTACCAGTTCGAGAATAACCGGTTACCACTAAGTTTGACAAAATTATTTTTAAAACTTCAAAAATTCGTAACTTTGGTTTTGGGTGTCCGGTTGATGCATCGTTAGAAAGCTGATTTAACTTACTTTATACTAAAATTATTTTCAGTACCAGAAATCCAACTATTCGACGCGTGGACACATGTTTTCTATGTGCTGAGCTGTGTTGATATGTGGAATTGTAAATGCAGTGTGAATGTGTGATATAGATGTGTATTGTTATTGTTGTATGTTTGAAAGGTGGATGTTAGGTGTTGGACTGTATTGGCGAAGTGCACTAACTATGGTGGGAGTCGATTTGCACATTGTTGTTGTTGTTGTATGAGTTGTACATATGTCACACATACATGTATGTACAAATGTGAGATTATCATGTGCCCAAGTGGAGTGTGAGCGATATATCCAGATTCTATTTGGGAATCGTGTCATTGTGTGTATGGTGGGGTGTGAGCAACTAAGAGTAGGATGATCGTGTGCCCAAGTGGGATGTGAGTGATGCATCTGAATTTCGACGAAAATTAATTGGTGGATTCTTGTGAGTCGATGGTACCACATGCATTGAGTCACATGTTTGAGTCTCATTGCATTGCATAATATACTGTGTTGTGTTATTGATTAGTTTATGCAAATTGTTGAATTATTCACTAATTATCAAATTATATGTATGGATTGACGATTGAGTGAGTGATTAATAATTGTGTGATTATATGTGTGTGTGTGTGTGCATGTGTGCGTGCGTGCGTGTGTGTGTGTGTGTATTCTTTATGTGATTGAGAATCTCACCCTTCTGTTGGAATGATGTTTTATACAATATTATGCAGATACACAAGAGTAGTTCAGGATTGAGGTTAGACGAGGAGATTGCTTCTTATTACATAGATTGAGTCGGTGTCTGCTCTAATATGTAACACTGAGAAATTACGTTGTTTTGTTTATGTTGGGAGTAAACTTATGTATAACTTCATGTGTTGGATTTATTTGGTGATTTATGTTGATCTTGAACTGTTATGATTATAGCTCATGTTGAAGAGTTATGAATAAATGTTATTGATGTTTTTTGCTGCTAATAAAGTCATTGAAGTTCAGATATGAAAAATATATGATTCATGTTTTAATATGTTTTACGTACCCTATTACATGAGAATGTTTCGTGATTGAAAGTGACATCTTAAATGTTTAAATTGTTTTAATTTACTATGAATTTTTAACTATTTATGCAGAGAAATTTTAGGGTGTTACACTTCCTACCACTATGTTAATAGGAAAATTAGAATTTTTTCGATATAAAACACTCATGTCGATAAAATGAATTGAATTCTCTTTATGATGGATGAAAAATAGGAAAAATGTGTTTTATTTAACGGCTCTGTTTCTACTTTTCTATAATCCGGAATTGAAGTGACTCGTGAGATAAATAAAATTTTTAATTTTATTAAAATTTAAAAATATATTATTAATATTTTTAGTAATAATAAATAAATTAGAGAAAAAAGTTAAAATAAAAGTGAGATAGTG